ACAAGGAAAATTGAAGATATAGAAATGTACTGAAATAACAAGAAACAGATTTCCATGGTTTCTGTATTAATGAAATTAAAATATGATAAAATAAGCATATATATAACAAGAAACAGATTTCCATAGTTTGTATTAATGAAATTAAAATATAATAAAATAATAAGTATATATATATATATGCAATACACATCCACTGAGAAGAGTAGAATTCTTACCGTGGGGAAAACATGTTGCTTAGTTGGGGTTCAATGTTAGTGTCTCCCCTCATGGAATCTTCACAAATATTCATCCTGAAACCACCCTTAGCCTGTGGGCAGCAGGTTAGACGTGGTTTGCAGAAGGTAGTTTGCCCGCCCCCAGCAGCATTCTCGACTTTTGTGTGCCCGAGAGTCACCTAACCGGCTTGTTAAAATATATTGGGAAGCCACACCCTCAAGTTTCTGGTAGGTTCCAAGAATTTGCATTTCTAACCAATTCCGACTCAGTGCGATGCTTCTGGTCTAAGACTGTGCTTTTACAACATTGCTCGTGATGTTGGTCCTTCAAAAGAGTCACTCTGAATATAAATCTATAGGTTTTATGTTTTAATTGTTAACTCATGTATTTGAGCTCACCTACTGGACTTAACTTTTTGAACTCTGAGGTACAGCAGTAGTAAATCTGGTTAAATTTCCATTAGGAAGCGAAGACCTATTTAAGCTAATACAGGGTTGATAACAGGAACTTTTGTCTCTTAAATAGCTATTAGTCTCTTGCTTACAAAGTCAGGCATCAGCAATCAGCATCTATTTGTCTGCCATAAAGAATGCCTGAATAGCATTTTTCCAGTCTGAGCAAACTTTTAAAATAGTATGCCAACATTCTAAAGGATATATGTGGATGACTCATAAGAATGGCAGTTTTGCTTTGACCTTAATATGTCCTAATTCACCAACCGCATTATCAATATAATGCTCTCTGAATTGGAAGAAGTTGCCATGTTCAACCCATAGGATATAAAACAGAGGCTTTCCTGAGGCTGCCAAGGGGCAAGGGAGATATCCGTTTCCTAAATCTTGGAGCAGCCCATGATCTACTGGACGAAACCACCCCTAAGTTGACTGTTAAGCTGCAGTGGGGCTCTCGGGATGAGCTCTGAACGATGTGAGCTCTAATCAATGTTGAGGTTGTGGAGAAGGTTAATGATAACAGGGCATTGGCTAATTTTAATGATCACATTTCACCAAAGAGATTTTTTTTTCATAAAAGAAGCAAACTGGAAAATATCTTCTCCTTCTGTTTATTTGTCCCAATGGTTTAAAAAAAATCAGCTTTATGGAACCATAATCTTCCTTGTGACAGATGGGCTTATACATTGGCATCGTGCTTTCAATCGACAGTTTACAATTCAAGAGGAAGGTGAAGAAACTGAATGTAAAGACATCTTCAGCATCTATTTGTCATTTTTCAGTTTTATAACATTGATACAAAAAATAGTATTCTGATTAGCAGCTTGATTGGCAACCCATGTAACCCTAAATAGTACTACAAACCTGGAGAGTGCACTTTTACAGACAATTACGTTTGGCGAAATAGTATGTACAATTCTGACAAATAAATACATAAATAAACAATCATTCATATATAACGATATACCTAAATGTCAATTATCAACAAGCGTTTCTAGTAAATTACTTCTTTCATTCACAAGTTACTTTGTTGCTTATAAAAACTATCCTCACCTTTACAGAAGAAATGACATAATCAATTCCCCCCCCCCACTAAACCCACATATTAGGAAAGGTAGAAAAGGAATCCCAGAAGCTTTATGTAAATGTTCCATTGTCTTTTGATAGAAGAGATTTTTGATTGAAAAACTTCTTTCTTAGCTTCTCTGTCAGGAGTTTGTTTCCCCTGTATCATCACACAAAGGGGTTTGGTTCTAGAATTTGATCCAAATCGAAAATGATCTTCATTTTTTGATTCTGGTTATTTAAATATATGATATTATGTATTGAAACTGGCATTTGGTCCGATATAAGAAGACCCAAAGCCTTGCAAACTAGCCAGCAAAGATCAAACTTTTTTCCAAAAATAAATTTTAAAAAGAAATTCTAAGAATACAGACACTAATTATTGATACATTTTGTTATCCAATGCATAATGAACAAAACAGGTTGGGGGACAATCAGAAGGTTTTTATAAAAATTATCTGAACGACTCCTGGTACAATACTGTCTGAAACATTATTTTATATAAGAGAAATGAAAATACATTTAAAAATGGCTTAAATAATTGAAACCATAGTTAGGCCAGTGTCATAAAATTAAGAAAAGTAGAAAATTAGAGCTTTTTTCTTGATCACGTGACTTAAACTTTTTTTTTTTTGAACATTCAAAAAATGAAGGGCAAACATGCTTTTGGCTATTGAAACACTGGACAAATGGCTTTGCCTCACCAAGCTCCATGCAGAAGAAAATGTACAGAACAAGCAGATTCTAACTATACGTACAGGGGAGAAGGAAAAAAATGCCTCTAAAATATATACATATGGTCTTCGATGAATATTTACATGTTTGTCACATGGGCACTACCTAGCATAAAAAAGTTAGGAAATAGTTCTTTAAGACATATGATTCTCCAATTTTTGCTCCTTTTAAAGATTAGGGCTCTATTTATAATGTACACACATACACACACACACAAAACAATTCATAGATGTACATATGTGATGTTTATAATGTGCAATCCCTTGACACGAAGGTGGCTTAACTGAGCATCAGGTAAATGCAAAATGGTAGTTAGTATAAGACAGAGGCTTGATTCAGCTACGTGGTGGAATCGTGAACCAAGTACAGAGTCGTGAGACTTTTCCAATGACTGGAACTCACAGCAGTTGAGGGTTGGGGGTGAGAGAGGGGCTCACCTTGTGTTGATCCATCTCTCCCCAGGCTACCTAATGCTGTTTTCCAATCAAACTCGGCAGTCCAGCTGACTGTTTGATGAAGATGTATTGAAGGACAGGAAGACCTGTCTCATATTGCATTCTTTTGGACTGGGGATAAGAGACCCAGTGTCGTCAAGAAATAGGCCATGACTTCATTTGTTCATTTTGTTTACTTGTTTGCTATCAATTTCCAGGGGGAGCTTCTAAAAGTTAGATTGAAAGAGATTAAAAGTTATATTCTTTCAGTTGCAGGGCTGTCTTTGAATGAAAACAAACAAGTTTTTTAATGAGCAGAAGCTGTGCAGTGTGTGGGTTTGCTGAATGCCTATTCTTCTGATAGAGGGGGACTAGCTCTACGGGCCCTCAAAGTTCTTATTGAGAATTCAGATCAATGTTTCCTGAGATTTAAGTTGATGGGATATTACACATTTTGCAAAGCATGTGATTCAATTATTGTAATGTACTTCCAACCAGAGGCTCCTCCCCGAGGAAAGGCAGCTGCCTTCACTTTCAGCACCCTGGGAAATCAAGGCAATGCACCGAAGGAAAAACTGATTCATTGAAATCAGAAGAAATGATAGAGAAATTGAAGCTTCTCCAAACACCTAAGATATCCAGGGAAAAAGTCAAAGTCTTAGGAGAATCGGATGCACGAATAGTTCGTATTCGATCTTTATTTTGGCATAAATTATATTTAAGGTGATGTTACTACTACTGATGATCATGATTGTAATTAATTATTTTAGCATTTGGCATAACGCATGACATATTGCATTAGCACCTTTTAAACTAAGGATCTCAAAATACTTAGCAAATGCAATTTGCTCTCACAGCACCTGTGAGGTAGGTGTTTTTTCCATCTATTTTATAAATGAGAATACTGAAGGAGAGCAAAGTTAAGATGCATGCCCACATGACCCAACAAGTGTGATGGTATCAAGAGAAACTGATCCCAAACTTCTCTACTCTTCCTTCCTGTGGACCTTAGTCACAGAGCTTCCAGAACACCTCCTAATAGCATTGCTGCTGGAGGTACTTGGATGTTTCAGACGTTAGAATATTACTGTAGGGCTAAAGCACTCAATGACATTGGTACCCACTGAAAGATGATCTCACATGCTTTGCAAATATGTGGGAGGGGCATCTGATATGACTGCTAAGCTTGTTTATGTTAATTATAATGTATATGTAAATTTGCATCTTCCCCGTGTAATTTATTGTTTTTCTGCCCTCCTGACTTTTTTTCTACACATGTGCCTTCCTGAGCCAGAAACTGTAAAATGCACTTAGCAACACCCTATGGAGGGAAGCAGGTGAGATTACATTTGGCAAAATCTCCTTGGAGGCACCAGGTAATGTTTGTTCTGAAAGAACAACAACAACAACAAAAAAGCCCCAAAAAACCCCTCTTGTTTATTTTGTTATGTAGCATTTTATATACATTCCATCGGATGACCAGTTTTAATCCTTGGATGAGCAAGCAGAGTTGTCTTCCAAACATACAGAATATTTGATTTTCAAGGTTAAATTTTGATTTATTTAGCTGTAGCCTCCCTGCCAGGCCTAAGTTCATTTCTTGGTGGAACCGCAAATACTGTACACATTACATGGCAATAGATGTAAAAATTCAATGTAACAGCACACACAATATTAATAATCACATTGAGTGTGTCTTCCTGACTGTGCATTATTTCTGAAAAAGAGTTATTTACTTTTATTTTTGCAGAGATGGTATGAAGACATTACTGCGAGTCTCGGTTTCCCAAAACCAGATTTTTATCTCAGATGCACAGTATGTAAGTCGTAGCAGTTGTTAGGATGTTGCTTTTTGAGATAAATGCAGTGCCTCAGGACCTGAGCATGAAATCTGGCCCTTCTAACTCATGTATTGTTTCTATGACCAGAGCCTAACACTTAGAAATTGGTAATCCAAGAAAGAAACTAGGAGAGGGAAGAAAAAACTTTACAAAACCCCTACGCCAGTTCATTTCCCCTGGTGACACCAGTAAAATACCAACACACTAGGCCCCATTTCTTAAAAAAGAAAAGAAGTGTATTTACATCGGTAAAAATCCTAACATCTGAGATGTTTCTTGCTTGACATGTCATTCCAGATTCTGTGCATTTCTTCTGGAGAGATCTGATGCACGGTGATAACTCGGCGATACCTACACAAACTGTAGGCCATTTTCCAGTGATTGAAGCCACTGTTCTGGAAAGGATGTATGCCCAGTTTTCGAAGACAGAGTCCCACGTATACATCTTCAAGGTGAAGCAGCCTTGTATGGAGTGAGGTCTTATAGATGAGCTCGGCTACATCAGCTGAAAAGATATAGCCAGTCCCCGAACAGAACGGTGGGTAGTTACTGTCAGGGTACAAATCCCTGGGCATGTACCACTTACTGCGGACGTCCCGGATCGGCCCTCCGTTGATGACATAGCCAGTAAAATACCTTCTTCTTGGCTTGGTGGAGGGTTTTAGTAGCTTATAAATCAGGTTGTCCATGTTGACAAAAATGTCACTGTCGGTTTTCATGACATACTTGGCTTTTGAACAAAAAGTGGCCACCCATCTCATTCCCATTAATGTTTTGAGGGTAAGGTTATGGTAGGAGTCGATGAAGTCCTCCACGATAATGTCGTGGAAGATCTGGCTCTCCTGCTCCACCATCTGATTCAGAACGGGATCGGCGTTCTTGCCCAGGAGGAAGAGAGTGGCTATCTTGATACCTTTGAAGTTGTTCTCGTCCCCCCACGTCTCTCGGATTGCCTGGCGGGCATCGAATTCTTTGTGGGTGGTGCTGATGAGGATAACCAGGAAAGGAATGCTTTTCTCACATTTGTTGGGCTCATTTATGAGGAATTCAAAAGAATGTGGGTTTATAGGTCGAGTTCTTATGTTGCCAAAGGTGAAGTTTTTCCTGGCAACTGTTAGGTGGCTGAATGGCTTGGAGCCAGTGTAGGAGGAAGTGGGACGAGTTATACTCAGATACCAGAGGGCGCTGGCCCAGCACACAACTGTCAAAACATATAGACAGGAGACCTTTGAAGCCATTGTCTCGAGAGCACGTCTATTCCAAATACCGAAGAATATGCCTTCTTGGCATTAGTTTGTTTTCATCTTGCAAAGGCAGCATATTACTGATAAATCTTAAAGTTCGATAAAGAAACGTGAGTACGGGATTGTCCATGGGTCTTAGTGGCAGTCTGGCATCTCCGCATTCCCTCTACTTTCTTCCAAACCCGATGGAAGGTTCCATGTCTCATAAATCTTCCTCTAAACTCTGCAAAATCAATAAAGTACAGTTGTAATTCAGATTTATTTAGTCCTCTTACATCCTCAAATAAACAATAAGGGTGTTAGAATTACCCGCGATGACTAAAATCATAAATGTATTCATTCATTTCCACCACTACTGAAAACTTGCTGACACCGCCATCCTCCCTTTCCTCCCCTGGACAGAAGTGATTTATGTATATTTGCGCCAAATTAACAAGTCTTAGATTATAAACTCTAGAAGAACATGGAGTAAACTGAACATTGGTAATTAAAAAAGAGTTTCCCCTCTTCACAAAAGGACCTCTTTGCTGTAAAATACCTTCTGACACCACAGGCTTCTTTCAAGCACAGGGCCTCCTATCTCTTCTCCACGCTTCTAAGTCTGAGCGTTTGTTCGCTCGATTCTGATGAAGTCGGTTCTCAACATCCCTCTGCTTTCTCTAGGCCTGAATTTGAAAACATGTGCATGCGCGCTGGAAAAATCTCTGCTCAAATGGTCTCTCTGGGCTCTGGCTTACAAGTAATTCCTTACTTTTTCTCACTTTTTCTTAATTTTGGCTCTCACACATGTTAGTCCCTAATTCTTAGTTTCCTAGGAGGCCTCAGATGAAGAAGAGCCTTACCCTCAGGCATGGACACCAGCACCCAAGTGTCTTTTCAGACAGCTGGCAGCATTCATTTTGGAGGCCATCTAAATGGCATCGCTTTTTGTGGTTTCCAACAATTCATCCTGATGTTCCTTTGATGAAATTAAGCTCGCCCCTTTCAATTCTTTTAAAGTAAACAGCAGGAATATAGTAAGAGACACAATTGAGCTTGGGGCCACAGATCCAATGAAGATGGACAGAACCCTTTAATTGGTGTTCAAATTAAAAAGCTGTTCTCCGGAACTCTAGTCCTTTCTAGGACTTGAGCCGCTCTCATGCCAGCAAAAAAATTTATGCCAGGGTACGACGTCCATTCATGTTAAAAATTGTCTCTTCCTTCCCAGTTAGAGCAAAATGTGGTAGCCCTGGAAGCCAGAGATAGTAGATAATGGGTAGCAACTTCAACAAAGTCTGCTTCAAAGAAAACTACGGGCTTGAACAGAGAGAGACTGTGTTGAAAAAACTTAACTGGGATTATAGATTGAATATCAGGCTTCCAAGCCTGATATTCATAATGAAATGAAGAGACACGATGGGCAATAGCAGAGATAATACACATCCTCTTGTCAAAGCCAAGAGCTGACTGTGAATATATGATCCATATGAGACCAGCAATAACTCAGTGTGGTTACGGTCCTAACTAAATGAATATTAGAATGGCTTCAAGCAGCATGACTCTAGGCATAGCCAGGCCTTCATCCAATCCATAATAAATACTCTCTCAATAATAAGCTCCAGTATCCTTGGCTCCTGAAGGAAATGTCCGCTCTAAGGTGCAGCATGGCTGATAAAAGGGACGTGATGTGCAACAAGCTTTGAAACTTTAAATAGCAAGCGAAATGAAGCGAGAAGCCAGCCATAGAGTTCAGAAAAGGGCTTCTCAACTTGGGATATACAGACAGCGGCTCCATTTGAATGCCAAAGGGATGTGAGTGAGTCTCAAGATGGTACTAGAAACCAAATTCTCTCTGTCATTGTTCCAGATGCTTATAAGCCTATCGTTAACCATCACAGAGCCTTTGTCACTTTTCATACTTTCCTGCTAAGTTAGGAAAGTCATCTTGTTACCAAGCTGGCGTACCAAAAGTGGTGACTGGAAGAGGCACCTCTCAGGTTCTCTTCTCGAGACCCTACTCACATGGGTGCATGTGAAGTATTGGAAAAATGGAAGTAGAGTCCGTACTCCTCCGCGTCTAGGAGGAAAGACTTCATGGAAACAAAACAGAGAGATGAAAAAATTTCATCACGAGGCCACTGGAGTACACAGAAGATGAGAGCTGGTGGACAGGGCATGGGCGAAGCAGGTCGTGTGGGCTACACAGTGCAACTCCACAGGGTGCCATTCCTTTTTTTTTTTTTAAGATTTTATTTATTTATTCATGAGAGACACACAGAGAGAAGCAGAGACACAGGCAGAGGGAGAAGCAGATTCCATGCAGGGAGCCCAGTGTGGGACTCGATCCTGAGACCCCAGGATCACGCCCTGGGCCAAAGGCAGACGCTCAACCGCTGAGCCACCCAGGCGCCCTGGAGTGCCCATTCCCATAGACCGTGGTGCGAATCGTACTCCCCCATCCTACCCGGAGTGAAACAATGAGGCTGCCTTGGGGAAGGTGCCATGCAAAAGTTTTCTAAGCTGAACCTTCAAGGGCAAGTAAGAATGATCTGGATGAGAGCCAGACATTTGAGGCAGAGGGATCAGCATATGCGAAGACAGGAAATGAGAAGCACGTGTGTGCCAGGACTACCAACGGTGGAGGAAGGGAGAGGACGGGGTGCTGGGGAGGAGGGTGGTGATGGTGCAGTTTCCAGCTCTCGAGATAAGCTGGGGTGAGAGGTGCTCAGAAACTGTTCTGAGCTGAATAGCTTGGCACCCATCTTTGCAATCCAAAGGGTGTTAAGGGAGGATTTCACCTTCACCAAATCCTGTCCACTGATTTTGGTGGCAATTCCTTTTTCCATATTCAGGATTTCTTTCTCCCATAGTTCTATGCCCCAGAGGAATAAGTGAAAAATTGTTTTCTCTGATAACTTTCTGTGTGGTTTTCTGAGGGAAAGGACTCCATAGCGAACAGGTATTGGGGGATTTAGAAAGAGCTAAACGAGGGAGAAATATAAGAGAAATAGGTGAGCACGTAAGTTTATGTATTCAGAAACACTTTTCATAGAAGAATGAGCATTCTCTCGTGGACAGCTAACAAACCCGACACTTCTTCCGTTGTTATTACAGGTCTCACTTCAAAACGTGTGTAGTACGCCAGGCGCTGGTCCATGCGCTGTGCGCTCCAGAGCCTGCATTTTAGAGAGCTTCACCCCTTACGGTGTTACAGGAGGGGTGTTGTCTCCATTTTACAGTTGAGAAGACGGAAAATCAAGAGATATTAAGTAGCATGCTCAGGATCACACAGCTAGGGAGTGAGTGACTAAGCGAGCCGTCATCTCGAGCTTCCCAAGGCCTGTGAGGACCGCACGGGAGGGCCCAGGGCTGCAGAGGAACACATGCTGCTACACTCCCTGCGAGCTGTACCTTTGTTGTCTTAGGTGTGTGTCCACTGCTGGAATTTTTGCCTGGTCCATTCTGGTTGGTTACCCACCGCAAGACACCAGTTCTGTGGGGCTCCCTGATCATCAGAAAATGATGACCTGCAAAGAGCAGATTCAAGCTGGGGGTGGGGGAGAGCTGCAGCAGTTGAGGAGGTTCAGGGACACTTTGCAGTTCCCTGCCTCTGAAATCCTGAAACACGCACATGCACTCACACTCACACACAATCACTCCTTCTACTGACTTTTTTTTTTTTCTTCTTCAGACAGGAGGACAAAAGTAAGCACGGTACTAGTACATCTCGGTCACCAGTAAATGCAAGGTATCACCAATAAAAACAAGATTTGAAATGGGAAAAAGAACCATCCTAGAATCTGAAGCAAGGCCAAGGATAATGCGTAGCAATGGCGAGGGGCACCAAAAAGCAGCCTTTGCGTGTACAACAGCACAGGTTTCTCAGGTGGCCAAACACAAAAAGTTGCCTCTGGAACACAAAGAGCAATGTGAGCAAAGATGAGAGAGAACAGTGGATGCTGCTTGTAACTCGAAAGCGTGATTTACGTATGCTGCTTGAAGTAGTCAGTGATGGGCCAGACATCCATGCTTTACTCCTTGAGTAATTCTAACTTCCTGTGTGGCTTTCTGTGCCTCGGTAGCCTTAAGGATGAAATAAGGGGAAAAATAACATCTCTATTATCTCTGGCAACATTATAGGTATTAGTGATCATCACCAGCCCTCTGAGTTTCTGGGGGAAATGCTGCTGTACAGGCAGATAGTATGATGTAAAGAACCGGTTCTAATGGGGATGAGGGGTTTATGTCAGTTTATCAGTTCTTGATTTGGGTGTTCAGGGCACATAGGTCGATCGATTCTTCTAAATAGGATTGTGGTCAGTTTTTTGGTGTAGGGAATACACTACAGATTTCCTGCTAGAGAGTTCTGTTCTCTTTCTGGAAAACACAAAGGCAAAGGTCCACTAAAGAGCAAAGAAAATGTCAGCTGAAAAGTTCTAGGGAGGGAGCTGAATGTCACAAAGCAAAATCCTCTGGAGGGTTCTTTCCGTTTCATGAAATTTAAAAGAGTCCCATTTAACAGACTCGTTAATGTACTAAAATACAAAGTTGCTCACAGAGCATTTGTCATTTGTAGTGGCCCGACTACAACCACAGACACCTCCGATGACACATTCACTTGTCATCCATTAAATACAAATCCCTCCCAATAGAAATATTCCTCTCCTCCACTTGAAAGATTTCCTCCCCAGGGGCCTTTCTGGATTGCAGATTACCTTGTTCACAGAACCCTTCAGTAGCTAGCTATCCACCTTCACCTTTCAGCAAGTTAATGGGGCAAAATTTTCAATTTAAGGAGCACAGGTTTCTCCCAGAAATCACATCGCACAATCTGGTATTTTGAGTCATTTAGTTTTTAAAAGGCCCCTATATTTGCCCAAATTCTTTTCTCATATGTCTCAAAATCCAGCAGCAAGTGGGTACAACTGTGTATAGTTTGGGTGTCAAGCTCATGTCCTTCTCCATCATGGTTCAGGCAAGTACAAGTCAGTACTGGCTTCCTACGCCCCAGT